ATGGAAGTTTTTTTACCAGTTTATAGAAACCCTAGGATTAGCAGGTGGAACACTAGCGTTTTGGTCTGTGCCACAGCTTCCTAACTGGACCGAGCTAATAAGAGTAGATCGTCCAGATAAAGAAAAAACTCATTCCTGCCATGTGTAACGACTGCAGAGCCGTCTCCATGCATTTCGAGAACATGCGTGGGGTGTTTCAGAATGATGGAAATGTGAAAATATGCGCTCTTCAGATCTATGGAGGTGAAAACCAGTCGTTCTGGTGAAGTTCTCCAGCAGCTGTTTGTCAACATGTGGAATTGTCTCCCCATGATCGAATTGCTGATCATGAACAGGTCGAGAATGGTCTCATCCCTCTGTTTTTTTCTCAGAACCAGGGAGTAGTGGGAGAAAAAAACAACATATTTTCCTCTCTGTTGGGAACTCTGGAAATCACGTTTTTTCATCAGAAATTCCTGAACTTCTGACTAAAGAGACGAGCTCTGTTCTGGAGAAGACAGAACCGTCTCTATATAATCCCTCTGAACGGTGGGGGTTGAGCTGCGAACTGTAGCGTGTAACCCCTTCTGATCAGACGGTCCGTCCATCTGTCCAGGGAACGCATTCGCTGCCACTCTGAGTAACGCTTGGAGAGTGGGCACACATTTGTGTTGTGTCATGTTTCTCATGAACGTCAACCAGACTTAAAACCCTTACTGCCATCACTCGCTCTGGAGATTCTCCAGGGGGAACCCAAGGAGGGCTCCGACAGAAAAAGGGCTGCATGTGTGCCTCTGTGCTGAGCCCAGCCTGCGGTCACACATAGAGCTGAGGTGAGCTGGCGCGCACTGGGAGGAGGCGTGAGCTCTTTCTGAGTGAGACGCCGTTTCAGTGGAGGCTGCTGAAAAAAAAAAACAAAAAAAAAAAACATTATTTTAGCTGACGTGGCAGATGAGTGTTTTGTGATATTTACTGAACTGTGGTGCCATTTAAAATGCTGTTTAGAGGTTACTGGCTCATTCTGTGTGGGGAATGTGTGAAGAGAGGCAGCTGTGAGCTCAGCTGATCTGACAGTCTCAGATGAAAAAACTTTACTTCCAAAGGTGTTTCTGTTTTATATATAAAAACATACATCATCAAAAAAAACCACATACCTTCCCCTCAAGTATCTGTTACCTAGTAGAGGGGGCTGACGGAGGAGCGGGGCGTGAAGGATTCTGCAGCTGTGGAGCGCCTCTGCTGCTGTTGCTGGCCAAGGCGGTCCCAGCGGCCAGAGGGGCGAGAGGAGGACTGTGACGTCACCAGATGGTGTACAGTCTCAGACCTCCTCGGACCTCTGCGATTTCTCAGGGATGGTCCTGAAGTTTGCCCCGAACAGCACCTCTGGGGTGATTGGACCCTCCAGCAGGTCTTTCTGCAGCCTCTCGGACAAGGATGGTGAGAGGTGGAGCCAAGTGGTCCTCTGGATCAGGGTCATCCAGGTGGCGATGCAGGACAGGCAGACCGCAGAGGTGGTGCACATGTTTAAGATGACATTGACAGCTTTACAGAGAGAGAGCTCTTTGTCTCCTCCAGCAGATCTGCTTCCTCCAGCCTCTTAGAGATGCTGTAGGCCAGCAGGGCGATGTTGTTGTTTGCTGCGGCCGTCTGGAATGTGCACTGGTGAGCTCGGTTGGAGACCTTGTTACCATCTGGTCATGCTTCCCTGGAGGGACAGGTTGCTGGTCCATCCTAGAAAATTTTTTCCCCAAGTGTCAATAACTCAATAGCTTTCAACACAAGATGATCTGTGTTTTGATTCTGTATACTCTACACTGGTTTGTCGTCATTATCTGCATCGGTTTTTGTCTATATTCTGATTTACCTCATTTTGTATTTTGCTTTGTGTGTTACCTGTTGTTTTGTCTGTACAGCACTTTGGTTGGCCTTGTTGCTGTTTTAAGTGCTTTATAAATAAAGTGGTATGGTATGGTATATGTCACTGCCAGGCTTGGCTTCGGGAGGGGGACCGAGAGAAAAAAAACAGATCAGTAAAACCCTCCACTCTGGACTTGGAGGTGAAGGTGGAGACAGATGTCAAGCTTGCCGGGCCCAGCTGCAGCCTCATTCCAGTGTGACGTCACAGCTGGACTGCGAGGCCAGATGGGGTCAGGGCGACGAGCCGGGGCGACGAGCCAACCTTGCCGCCAGATCATCCAATCAGGGTGGAGGGAGGCAAGGGACAGAAAGTCCCTTGTGTTAACATCCTCCTGGATTATGCTGGGCAGCTCCGAGAGGAGGCGCCGACGGCTGGGACCGGTGTGGTCGCTGACGTGGGAAGATCTGAGGTGGCTGAGCACACGCTCGACCACTTGTCTTCCATCACTATGGTCTCCAGAAGGGACGGGGCAGCTCCGCATCGCCTTTCTCAGAGGAATCATTCGATTCACTATGTGACTCTGCGTCAAAGATGGGGGTGGCGGCGTCCCACATATAACGTCCCGCCACAGAAAAAAAGCACTCAGCGGAGCTGCTGCCAACAAAAAAAACAAAAAAAAACAACGACTTTTTGAGGGAATCATCCGATTCACCTAGAGAAAAAAACACATTAGAAAAGGCGGTGGCATCGTCCAGCGAATAGCGGCCCTCCACAGAAAAAAACATTCAGCGGGGTTCATGCTAACATCACCTTTTTGAGGAAATCATTTGATCATCGCGAGGAAAAAGCACGTTAGAAAAGTTGGTGGCATCATCCAACGGGTAGCGGCCCTCCACGGAAAAACATTCAGCGGGGCTGCTGATAACATCGCCTTATTCGAGGAAATTATTTGGTTACCGCAAGGAAAAAAACATTAGAAATGGCGATGGCATCGTCCAGCAGGTAGCGGCCCCCCACGGAAAAGCACTCCTTGGCCCTTACCTTGAACAAGGCTGCTTGTCTGCTTTTCCTCGGGGAGGAAGATCTCACTGGGACGACAGGAGGTTGGCGTGGCGGAGACCCAGGTATCCTTAGCAAAGGTTGTGCCAGTCAAAGCTGGACAACTTTTCCTTCTTTGTTCTTCTGACAGTGCTAGCTAGCTGGCTGAAGAAAAAATGGGAGCCGATTACCCGGTCTCACCGTAATTTATACGTACCACAGGTAAGGCCCACTTAGCAGGTGGGCGTGGACTAAAGTTTTCAGTGCTGCGCTGCGAGCCTAGGGATAAACCCACTAGCGACAGTCTTAGAGGGCGAAGTCTATACGAAATAGAATACAAAGTTTTAAGCAAAAATATTGGACCAATGCCTGCTGCTCTGAGTATGTGTTGGAGATGATAATCTGCTATTACCACATACAAGATTAGCACACAATCAGTGTCATACTTTTGCTAAGGTCAATTATCCTATTATTAGAGATCCTTCCTGCCTACAGCCATCAGCATCAATAACATCGCTTAATGAAATGAGGATAATGAGTTACAACAACAAATATTTTCCCTTTGGGATTAATAAAGTATTTTAGAATTGAATTGAATTTTTGAAATGAATTAGTTGTAGCAGCCTTTTTGAATTGGGTTCACTAAATCTGTTGTAGAGTTGCAGCTAATAATTAATTTCTGAAGGATTCCTGAAAATCTGTTTAGTAGTTGATAAATTTTACTAACAGATAGTCAACAGTGGTGCCAAAAGATTAATAGAGAAGTTTAAAACAAAGATCTGGTGCAATCTGTTAGTGTTCAGAGTAAATGATGAAGCTCAATACCTTCACACGACTATTAGTGTCATTTTCGTGTTTGCAAAGGTAGATGAACTGTTTCAGCCCTCTTGAATTAAGGTAACTCCAAAAGTTACTCCAAACAGACATAGAAAATTGCATGATTGCCTGCCTTTCAGGTCTGCAGACAATAACTAGCATAGCTTTTCCCCATTTGGGTAGCATAGAGGGGAATTAAAAATACCCTCTGTTTATGTTGAAAGCACGAAAACTTGAAATATAAGTGAGGTATTGACTTCCATTTTTGTGTATGGCTCCATCTAGGCAAAAGAAAGGTTCCTTTCAAAAATTGGGTTGCCACATCAAAAATCCAAGATGACTACCTCCATCAATGTCTGTCCATGTTGTGAGCATGATAACTTGAAAAATAAGTGAGTTACCGACTTCTATTTTAGTGTGTGGCTGCATCTAGGCATAACAAAGGCCACTACAGTACTAACAGCTGGGTTGCCAAGTCAAAATCCAATTTGGCAGCTACAGTGTGTGTGTGTGTGTGTGTGTGTGTGTGTGTGTGTGTGTGTGGGGGGGGGGGGGTATACATGTATGTGAGTTACTGCATTTATGTATGTATGTATGCATGTGTGTGTGTGTGTGTGTGCGTGCGTGCACACACGCACGTATGTATGTGTGAGCTGGATAACAAGAAAAAAAAAAAACCAATAAAAACACACTATATTGCTTAAAAGTATAGTTCACTCAAATAAGTAGGCTGACCAGAGATTAATCTATGGTGGCTAAGGACACCACTGACCACCCCCCTGGCCTGCCATTTTACCTGGTGGTTGAAAACTTCAAATATTCAATATTCAAATCCCTCAGCGACAGGGGACACTACTGGCGTACTGCTTGCTCTGAAAAAATAAAATAACACTTCCTCTGTTTTTAGTTTCAGTTTATTATATCCTAATGCAAATAAATCATCTGTCTATGAAATGTAAAAATGTAGATGATACTCTTTAAAGTGAAGCTCTGGTTTGTGTTTATGTTTAGTCTTTAATGTTAGGTGTAATCTAAATCTGGGAGTGCAGGGTGGTTTCCAGGGATATAGTTATTGTGAGAATGCTGTCTAGACAGAAGATGCATGGAAGAAAATAGTTGTATTATGGAAATAATTAAAACAATTCAACACTTAGCTATTCATGAAAAGCATTATAAATATAATATGCAATATTAATATAGTACAGTAATATGAGTGACACTGTGCTACTTTGCCATCTGCTGGGTAACAATATCCCTTTCTTTACTATCTTTATACATATATATTTTTTCTTTTTCATGATGTATGCAGATGGGATCAGTGTGACGGGTCTGCATGTCTGCAGTCCATTCCGGCAAGTCCTTAAGCCCAGGTCTGAGACCAAGTCTGTCAGCAGTGAGTCTGGGAAGGCTGAATACAGCCACATTAAGGTAAAAAAGTTTCTGCAACATAAAAAGACAAGTCATGAGTACAAATTCAAGTGTATGTTGGTACTCATTTTGGGATTTCTATGTACTCATTGGTTTAGGGCTAAAACTAAACATTTCCATTGTGGTGCAATCTCACTGCACTATTTTTCAATCTATAAATATTTCAGTTTGTGGTTTTAGAATTTTAGATATATGCCACTAGAAAGGCCATGAGCTTATTTAGATGTGATCTCACCTTGCTTCAAGTGGTTCTTTGAATCAGCACACAGAGCTCATAGATTTTTAAGAGTAAGAGGCGGGTTGGAGCGAATCAAAAGAGGATAACGGTTTGTCGAGGGCTTACAGATGTCTAAATGTTTCTGAGTGTGCTCTAGCACAACAACTATCTGCAGAGGTGGTTTGATGCTTTTTATTACCTCCCAAAGCCAAAGGAGCATTTTTATTTTCACTGTGAATCAACAGAAGAGAAAACAAGACTTAGATTTACTTTTAAGATGTTCTGTCAAACAAAAATGTATTTTCCTCTTGTCTCCATGGGACAGTTTGTCAGGATGATGACTCATGCATTAAGAAACACTCAAAGAGCTTTCTTTATTCTGGTTAAACAAGATACAAACTAAGACAACTTTTCACAAATATGAGTATTACACCTGGGCAATGAAAATCTGAGTCACTCCACTTTGGTTTTAGCTGCATTCCTTTGGGCTGAGATGGTGTAGAGATAGGACAGCCGACTTGGGACCAGAAAGTTGCAGGTTCAACTCCCCACCATGTCCACATGTTGTGGTGTCCTTGAACAAGACACCTAATCCCTAATTGCTCCCTGGGTGCTTACATAGCTGCCCACTGCTCCACCTGTGTGTATATCTCAGGTGTGATGGATATATGCAGAGAACTAATTTCATCATTGTATGGGAACATACAAACCGGATTCCAAAAAAGTTGGGACACTAAACAAATTGTGAATAAAAACTGAATGCAATGATGTGGAGATGGCAAATGTCAATATTTTATTCATAATATAACATAGATGACAGATCAAAAGTTTAATCTGAGTAAATGTAACATTTTAAAGGAAAACATGTTGATTCAAAGTTTCCCAGTGTCAACAAATCCCAAAAAAGTTGGGACAAGTAGCAATAAGTGGCTGGAAAAAGGAAATTGGGCATATAACGAACAGCTGGAAGACCAATTAACACTAATTAGGTCAATTGACAACATGATTGGGTATAAAAAGAGCTTCTCAGAGTGTCAGTGTCTCTCAGAAGCCAAGATGGTAAGAGGATCACCAATTCCACCATTGTTGCGCAGAAAGATAATGCAGCAATACCAGAATGGTGTTACCCAGCGTAAAATAGCAAAGACTTTTAAGTTATCATTATCAACCGTGCATAACATCATCAAAAAAATTCAGAGAATCTGGAACAATCGCTGTGCGTAAGGGTCAAGGCCGTAAAACTCTACTGGATGCTCGTGATCTCCGGGCCCTTAAACGT